CGTATGTAATTATTGCTTTGTTAGTGTTTCCTTGTTCTCGTTATTGTTCATATATGCCATAAATATGACAGTTACTTCTCTCTTTGATGTTCTGATCTTGAGATGTGCGTATGACCCCACCCTGGGGAAAAACTTGCGTTATCTGTTCAGAGGGATCACAGCGGATACAGAAGGCGGATTCGTAATCATCGTCCAAAAGCAGTCGCTGCATTTTGAGCGTACGGTAGCGTTTTGAGCGCGTCAAAAAACGTGCATATATCGTTCTAGCGTTCTAAGCGTATGCTGGTGTTTTCAGCTACAGCCCTCGAAAAGTTCGAGTTTACTCGCTGTCATATGAAACGTTGTCGTATGCTCGAAACGCTGACGCAAAGCATGAACGCAGATTGCAATGTGTTGCTCTAAAGAACGCGATAGAGCCCCAATGTGGCACAATCCGCCAGTATGTCAGCGTCTCCGCTCGCAAACATTTCACAATCGTCGTCGATGGGAATCTGAAGGAAAAATCTTTCATAAAAAACTCCAGTGGAAACGCAATAGAACTAACCTTCTCCAACCATTGTTCTACTGTGAAAGACAACTTCAGATGAGCTAAAACCGTCTCAATCTTGGGATTGTGGATTAATAAGCACCCTGCCTTGGCGTGTTGATGTATAAATTCGAAGCATACTGCCTATAATGCAAAGAGACAACACATAGCTTCCCGGTTGCGACGATGTGAAGAGGTTCAAAAAGCTGTTATATTGAGAGCAGTTTCTAGTTGCGGTCAATGTCCTTCACAGCCTCCTTGCACAGCGATGACGCGTTGGGATACTTAACCCGCTGCCATCGCGCGTCATCGCGAAGTCTGAACGCTGTCTTACATCTACATTTCCTAGCACCTGCACACCATTCCTCCCAAAAGCACTCTCAGAGATAGGGAATATACAACATCCCCCGCTCCCTTTCTCGGAGAGAATGAAAACACTGCAATACCTGTTCGTCGGCTTCCATAAAGAATGAGAATACGTTGTTCATAATGATTAAGTCAGCATTGCTAATCAGATCCGGTTGAGCGCGAACGTCTGCGCAGACGACTTCTATGTTCTAAAATAAGAGTATATTGCAGAATTATGAAGTCTCCATCAACAATTTTGTAAGATAAATCTATAATTGTAATAGCACCTGGAGATTGAAGTTGCGAATCACTTCTTTTTGAAGCTTAACAAACTCCTCGTTTTGTTCTACGCCGGTTACTGATATCTTTCCGCAACTGAATAAAGAGCACCACTGAACTCACCCATCACACAGATACAAGAAAGCAATCATTCTGTAGCATAGTAGCGAAACTAACCCATATAAGGATGCCGCATATATGACTGCTCCGAGGCGAGAACCAATATCTAACACGTGGAAACCTTCTGGTTGTGATTTCAGCGGTACAAGCTGGGTAAAAATGAATTCTAGCTGAAAATATATTTCGTCTTATAACTCCAGACCCACCATCTCCTGAACTGTTATATCAGATAAGTGTGGATGGACTAACAAAATGAACTGGTATTACTTCCCGAATTTGCACAGAAAAACAGAAAGATAACAAATATATGTAGGACTCGAGAGGTCCCATTTTGGCGTTTCTATCATCTGATGAGAGCAGCCTCTTTCAAAACACCATAATGTGCCTTAGTTCAGAATGGAAATCAACTTAGAGCAGCAGCTGCGGTAGCGTGTAACTTTCTCTCCTCAAAAGTGCACGGGAACGCGACTGCAGGTAGTGATACCTAAGTGGCGTGTCTATATTCCGCCAGCGCTATTTTCAAAGGGCATCACTTGCGTCGATGCCAAGGTCCCGCACTGGAACGCGTACTCTGCGGTAGAGAACAACCAGCAAGTAGAGGGCGCAGACATTTAGCGCGAATCGCTAAGGCTAGGCGCATGGCAGGCCGTGAGGCAGCAGGAGACAGAATATGAAGTCGGCACCGAGGTACTCCCTCCAGTCCCGTTTCCATGCAACTTTGACCGGAGAAAGTGATACGATACTACAGCCGCGGACTCATCCTCCCCATACGTAGCATGGATCAGGATCCATAGAGGGACTTATGTGACGAGACGATCGTAATTTGCTACGCTGTGGGACGCCGCGCACAACGTCGCACTGAAATAGCGATGGTTTCAAGCCACAGACGGCGACAACAAACAATGTGTAACTAAAAAAGCCATAAAACGATTTCGTGGTTCACACAAAATCTGGTGCTTCAATCGACAGGCTCATGCAAATTACAGGAAAGCCACTGCTATCGCTGCGAGCGACAAAGCGGCAGAGTAATGATTGTCTTGACCGTCTCCACAGAGGTAAGAGTAAGAGTGCATCAGTCTTTAAAAACACATGGTACGATCACACATAGTTTGGGTGTGCGTGACTAACAGCCCCCAGCTGTCGAAGCGTAGCGGTTTCCCCGTCCTAACATGCGCAGGAATGGAGATACAGGACCGTGAAACACGCTAATTCCTCCATGCTCCGCCCAATGCCTTTTGCGGCGCAAACTCCCGTTCATGCTAACAGCCGTCGTTTGCGCGCGGGTCGCGTGCGGCTCTCTTGGCACTTTGCCAAGTCCTGTTGCGCTTTGGAATACAAGTAAAACGCAATTTCCTGATGCGGATAACATTTTAGGTGCTGCAAAATAAGAACCGAAGATGATGACGAGGGCTAGAACTCAAGAGCAACTGTGCTGCTTCTGCAACATCCCTCGGAGGCCGCGCATTCCCACAAAACATGAAAATAAAAACGGCCTAAGCGTCCCACTCCCTTAGTTTCGCGTCAGGGAACTGCGTTCTACTTGTATTCTAAAGCGCAATTACAGGACGCGGCTCTCTCGGCAGGAAAGCCACGAGAGCCGCGCGCGACACGCGCCGCGCGGACGCTGTTAGCATGAACATGAGTCTGCACCGCAGGTTGCATTTGAGGCGAACTGTGGATAAATTAGCGTGTTTCACGGTCCTGTATCTCCATTCCTGCGCATGTTAGGACGGGGAAACCGCTACGCTTCGACAGCTGGGGGCTGATAGTCACGCACACCCAAACTATGTGTGATCGTACCATGTGCTTTTAAATGACGCACTCTTACCTCTGTGGAGACTATGTGTGATCGTACCATGCGTCTTTAGGCGGAAATCGCACCATTCTAACACAAATGTATGAGAAACAGTTCCACCTACTCTATCAAAACCCTTCAATATCACAAAGTAACCACCTGACAGTGTGCTAGGCTGTGACTAATAAAGTTCAAATCTTTGACATTTCTTGAGCCACAGTCGACACAAAACTTCCTGGAATACAAAATACGAACCATCTACTATTTCCTAAACACGACCGCTTCATACTAAATGTTCTCATACCGTTGTATCTTACCAGCATTCATCATTTCCTGCAACGCGTGATCATCATAGAGAAAACAGTCAACGTGAACCTGACATGCTACTAATTAATGACTAGGTGGGCGACTAGCAACAGTGACAGTATATGTTATCAACGAAATCATTTATTTCGTACCGTGTTTTTCTCTCCACAATCGGCGTCATGCCCTTTGCTAGGCCATACTATCTTCTCTGTTTGGACGGAACCATCGGGCACCTAGAAATAAGCATCCTTGGCGAGAGTTTTTTTCGCGTCATCCACAGCTCATCTAGGAATAAAAAGACTCTTGTCACATGTGGTCAAAAGCACACAACGCGTTGATTTGACGCGCAGACGCCTTCTTTGGTCCTGTCCGCAAGCATGGAGGATATACTACTTTCGCGTGACCCACAGCGACGAGGCCACGGCTGCGCCCACGGCAACAACAAGGCCTAACATCCGTTACTAAAGTCTTCACTTAATCCACTACTAGCTCTCTCCATTTAGCATGGTGAGAGTGAGGTGATAAGGAGAAAGAGCTGACACCAAGAAAAGGAAACTCGTCCACCCACGCCCACTCTTGTCCCATAGAGTACTATATAAGGCATTTTGGGCTGGTTTTCCTAGCTTTTTTGACCATTTTTTAAACGCGGACATATCTTTAGTGTGGCTAATCTCACATTTTAGCAAGAGATGCGACAGCGAAGGCTAGCGGCGCGAAGAAGCTAGGTGCACAGAAGACACAGCACAAAGCCATACAACCGATGAAGGTAGACATGTGGATATAGTAAGTGGTGCCATATAAAAAAGGCGTGGCCAGAGCTAAGTGACGAGCTCCTGGCGTGCTTAGCACAAACCTTCGCGTTACGAGGGGGAGGGGACAAACTAGATCCAGTTGCGGGCCTACTCAATGCTCACGCAGGATGGTTTCTACTCTAATCGCGACTTATATTCACGTGCTATGCTTCGCTATTGTATAAGGGGAGGGGCAATAAAAAAGACATTTCGACCGAGTCACATATCAGCAAAGTTTTCGCAGCCCAGACAGAGGACGTGGATACGAGTACCAGGGCGGAAGATACCCAAGATGTTCCTCGATAAGGCATTGTTCACAGTCTGCGGTCCAGCGTTTCTCTGGAACGCGGCGGTTCGGCGAAAAGCTTTCGATACGTATCGACTGGCGGTTGGGCGAAAGGGTTTTGATACGAATCGACGGGCGTTTCGCCAAACCGCGACGTTTTTCGCCTTCGACGAAACGCTAGCTCGATCGCCGTGGCGTTTTTCGCCAGCGAAATCGATACACATCTATTGCTTTTCGCCCAACCGCCGAACCGCGGCGGTTCGGCGAAACTAGCGGTTGGCGATTCTCCGATCGATGACTATTTTTTGCTTTTCGCCCAACCGCCGTTTCGTTAGGGTAGCAGAGTGTTAACATGCCTAAGCAGGTGCTGGCTGTCGCCCATCACCTTCATGTACACCAAAATATGAAGTCATCTCCAGTCGCAGCCTGACTGGAGAAGACCTTTGGAATTCATGTCACCTCCAAACAGCTGCGAAACTTCTAGTATGGAGTCACCCATGGATAGCTACCTGGAGACCAGTACTCTCGATCTGGAAGACCTCCAACATCGAGCAGCTCCGACAACGTCGCTACGGTCTAGGACATCATCTTCACCAAGGCGCGGGTTGATGGTATGGACCGGACGTACCTGGAATGGAAAGACCGATATTTTCTTCGTGGACCCCGGACTGAAGGTGAGCGCTGGCGGTTACATCGAGCAACTCGAGAAGAATATCCTCCCCACATGTCGTCGCCCGTACCTTCTTGTACCTGGGAAAGATGAAATATCTAAATACCCCTCCCCCATTACTTGGTTCGGGGGAGTAGGGTGGTTTGCAGTGGCGAAGAAATCGACAATCTCGCTGAACTCAGGCACCGCACCATGTTGCGTGGCAGAATCTCTCGATGGCGCTGGTCCAGAAGGCTGTGGCGGAGGTAAAAAGGTCCGATCAGAATTCAATAAAGTGTAACTCATAACTCCTGGAAAGTCAAGGTAAAAGCGTCTTTTTGCTATTACCCCCCCCCCCCTCCCCTCTATACGCGCGACTGCGAATGCTTAGAATAAAGCAGTCAGAGCATGTCGTACGTTCTGGGTTCTCATACAGACAGGACGTGTTGCCGTACTACAGAGGAAATCTTGACGTGGTCGTATTAGACAAAACTATTCCCCAGATGAAGGACGTACCCTGAATGCAGTCGTACAGATACAGCCTGGCTCAATGTGTGTCTATCTCCGTACCTATGCCGGTGAGGCTTGGTATGACGGGCCGCCTGCTTCTCCACTAGATGTTGAAAGGAAGCAACAAAAGCTGGTAGAGAAAGACTGATGCGAACGACATGATAAAGTCCATGCCGAAAAAATAAATAAAAAAGGGTGGCATTGCGTCAAGCAGTCACCCTTGACACACCCCATCACCCGCACATTGAACAACTTTTGAAAAACGTGCGCAAATCGCACAAAAACCATTACCTTGGCCCTGATGTGGTCCGATATCTCGCGAAGTTTGCTTATGCTGTCAATTACGAACATTGGCTTAGCGCACTCTTCTCCCTCACAATAAGTGGTGTGAATCCAGTCGATGAATTCTTCCTTCTTTTTGACTCGACTGATCAAAGCTTCGAAACAGCTTGCATGCCTCTTTCAAATGTAACTCCTCCTCAGGCATTTCGATCTGAAAAAAAAAACGAAAAATACCGCTCCAAAGCAAGACAAACACATAACCTTGAGAAAAACTAGGCATAAGCAAACCTAACATTTTGAGGATTTCAATTCCTATTTTTCAAGCTATAATATTGGCATGAAGATCTCAAATAGGTTTTAGCCATTCCTTACTCTATCCAAAAAAAACCAGCTAAAGCGTGACCGAACCTTTATTCGAAATCTGGTATGCAGTGGTACTTTCACTTCCCTAAGAATCGCCTAAGGGAGCTGCTTCATAAAAAAAAACTCAAAGAATCTCTTCAACAGCAACATAAAAACAGAGACGTTATTGAAAGAATTCATCACAGGATTCGTTTGAACAAGAATATCACTAATAAATTATTCAACAGTTCAACGCGCGACACAACACTTACGTAACAGGTGACGATGAAATGGGAGTAAAATATCACAGTTCAGAAGGGAAAGGCATAAAACAAGTGCGAACCACTAAATGATGGCATGTGAAATAAACAAATTAACCAAAGTAGAACGACGAAGTGCTTCTACGATATTATTCAAAATGAGGGCGTTGTTTTTCGAGTTGACGAGACTCGTAGACATCTTTATGAGTCCTCCACCTCCATCCGAACACCGGCAATATACAAGATGCTGCGAGTAGAACTCCACCTTAATGCGACCATATTACTGTGAAATTTACATAAAATATAGAATGAAATACTTCCACAATTCCAATGTTTGGATGGGAATGCTAAAATTACTCATGGGTCGATTTGCTTTGTTGCATAACCTTGACCTACATGATAGTAAAAAATGAACGTCAAATAAATACGAAAAACGAAAATAGCTTGACAGTCGGAAAAAGAGCATATGAAGGAATGTTATTGTGAAGACGAAGAAAAAAAAGAAAAAAAAGAATCATCAATAAAATGAATCTGGCTACCTACCTTGAACCTACATTTATCTGATTCTCATTAAAAGTCACTGCAATTTTGAGACATCGGTTTCAGGATACAGCATCGTGACGTGTGGAATGGTGGTGTCAGGATGACCCTCTTCCTCTCTCGAGAGGTTCTTGGTACGACTCCCCCCTCATCCACCTAAAAGAGGGTCTCGTGGTACGACCCCCTTCCCCAACCTTCCTCCCTACCAAACTTAGGGATTATGCGTCGAGCGGGAGGGAAGGGGTTATATAATACACATGAAATAGGCAAAATCATACAAAAAGTACAAGCGGGAACAGGAAAATTTTTTCGCAACGCAGCAAATTCCTCTTAAAGGCACACGCGAGCACATGCGACCTCCCCCCCTATGTCTTTCACACAACAATTCTGTACCCTGACCGATTACCTTATCACTCCCTAGATGTTTTGTCCCCATGTACAGGATGTGTCAAGTTTAACCAAAATAATGCTTCCTTCTCTTAACTAGGGATCTGTAAAGCTCAACTCTGCTGCAAAATTAACAAAAAGTTAACTTCTTAAAAAATAAAATGATGAAACAAAACTTACCGAGCACGTCGCTTGGATAGTGCCAGTAATCAGTGACTCGAGTTATAGCAGTGAAACCTGTCCATACAGTGAAGATCACTAACAATACATTCCTAGTCTTGTACAGTGATGGGATATCGGTTATTCTCGCTAACCTGGAAATGTTCAACCACAATACTTTTCTGATATACAGTCAGTTCCTAAAACTGATTTCAAAATTCACTTTTTGAAAAAACTTTTACCTGCACAAATAAATACGAAGTTATTACGCAAACATGGAAGGCAGCTGCAGTGTGTCCTGATGGAAACGATGTTCTTGCCGTGCGAATTCGCCGCGTGTCAGGATTCATACAGAACGTTTCAGAGACTGAAGTTTTCCGTTTTCAAGTCATTATCAAAGAGGAATGATATCACCAAACATTTTACTAATCGGCAACCCTGTTCGTATCACAGATACGAAGAAGTGCGCCGAACAGTGCTCGGAACCAACGGTTACAAGACATCTGTCACCCGGAAGTCTCTCGCGTTGAGGGTCCAGAGGTGTTTCTCATCGCGTCTTCTGTTGAAGCATTTAAAGGAATGAAAATAAGGAAGGAGAATGTAAAAAGGAAGGAAAAAGGAAGGGAGAGGAAGGCTCCGCGGTTGACAGGTATCCTGGTACCATCAGCTACAACCCTTCCCAGAGGTTCTCACAAATTTACAGAGAAAGCTGCTCAAATTTGTGTTCAGACTCCTCCGAAGTAGAATTTATGTATACAACCAGGCACACCAAGAACTACCAACATGTTCAAACCTTAACCTTCCAAGATACGATTTATCCCCCCCCCCCTCCCCCCTCCCTTTCAATTTAGATGTGAAATAACCAGTAGTCGTCAAGCAAAAAGTTTAATTTAAACAATGATTGAAACTTCGTACCAGGAATATACTCCTTGTCTGTGCAATCCATGCGAGCCCAATCAGGCTGGCAAACAGCAAGAAAGTGGGGACGAAGACGGCCGATAGTACACTTTAAAAATTCCATCATGAATGTGCAAACAGCGAATGAAATGAGATATTTCAAATACAGCAGCGTTGTAAACGAGAAGTAGTTGGCCAACTTGTTCGTTCCCTGAAAGCATTCAATTAGACAGATTTTACCTATACATCATGGAAACTATTCAGCTATCGTCCTATCATGAAGAGCGGTTGGGGCTGTTGGCTTAGTTGGAGAGGGGATTGTGCCGTTGTGCCCTCCGCTCACCTAGTTTCAGCCCTGGACATCAGAACTGACGCGCGTTACTCTTGTGAAGAGGAGCGATCTCTACTGAGCTTATGTTTAAGTTAGGAGAACCTGTGAACACAATGTTTCAGCCTTCGTCAACGGTTGGACAATTCAACTCTCATATCGGTGGAGTACAAGATCTTTTTCTGTGCCCTTCAACTCTTTCCTGCTGGGCTAAACTCAACAGAGTAAACGCGTAATGGCCTCATTCATTTCTAATCAATGAGTAACTATAAATGCTCTCGCTAACAATAAGTGATCATTGCTATAATAAGCGACTACAGTACCAATTCTAGAACTAAATAGGAGGAATGTAACGGTCTTCAAGGACTAGAAAACATTCGGGATGCCAAGATATAAAGGGAATGAGCTTCCCACCTCATCTCCATATGCAAGTGGACTCCTAGATTATTTGACGGAAAACCCTCCAAAAAATTTTTGCCAAGTCTGCAGTCGCTGATGTGTACCGACTCCATCTGCTGACAGTGTCAGATAAGATCGTCACAAACACATAAATTCTTCTTTTCGGTCACGCTTACCCTGGCAACGCCTTTGCGAGTACAACTTGCTTGGACCGTTATATACCGCTGGCCCAGTACCACGGTTTCACGTGCTCAGCGGCTTGCTGTCGTAGCGATTTCGCGGCAACGATGTTCTTTGTTTGTTCTATTCCCTAACTTTGCCTTATGCAGCGTAAAAAAACAAAAAAATAACATGGCATAATAACAGGGAGATCTGATATTATCGAACTATCCCTGAGCCTCATTTTGTTGAATGATCTTCTTGTATTGATAGTTGAGGACTCGTGCAATAACTTTTCTGGTAAGCTTTCGCTGTTTCAGCAGCTTCGTCAGATCTTAAAAACAGAAACAAGCACACTTGCATTACAACACTTAATAAGGGTTGAGTTATACAAATAATAACTAACCAGGTTGGCCAGGTTTACACCAAATTGTATATTCTGCAACACACTGTATGCAACTACTAGTAAAGCACACCACAGAAGATGGACGTTACCCCAACCGCACTGCCTATGTAGTAGTTGCATATATTGTGTTGCAGAATATAACAATTCGATGTTAACCTGGTCAACCTGGTTAGTTACTATTTGCTTAGTTACTATTTGTATAAGTCAACCCTTATCAAGTGTTGTAATGCAAGTATGCTTGTTTCACTGTTTTTAAGGTCTGACGAAGCTGTTAAAACAGCGAAAGCTTACCAATAAAGGTTATTGCACGAGTCCTCAACTATCAATACAAGAAAATCAGGGAGATCGTTCAATCCAAGGCGCCTTGGTCAAGAATTGTACATGTGCCATTGACTCCTACTACTTCTGCTTTCCCTTCAACCCCCATAGAATAGTGGAATAAAGGAAAAGACGACCTAAAAATGCCAATACGGTGCGAAATCGAAGGCAGATTCAACGGTGATTAGAGTAACAACCCTCTCTCAAAACGATGTAGACCAATTCCTTAGCCCAAGGTTGCGTCGACACCGCGGCTAAGAGCAGCAGGGAACTCGGCTCAGATGACTACCCCCATAGCAAGCACTTCACGACCAATCGTTTGTCAAGAAAAGCTCACTAATAACTTTGATAAGATAAGAAATAGCAAGAATTAAAGCTGCCAAAGCGAAACAAACATTGCGAAATAGGTTACATCACTGAATTTGAGTGATAGCAACGAGCACAGTCTAACAAAAGTCTCTTCGCGTTGTTCCTGTGACAAGTAATACACTTAGTAATACACTAGAACTTCGCTTCCTGATTTTTCGGTGATTCCCTTTGTTCTAGCCATCGCTGTTGAAGCGAAAAACATCTCCTCACCCATTTACGCTTTGATTAACACATAAGCTATCGTGTATGATGATGAGAGAGAGGGCATAATGGTACTAATGGGATATATACAGGCGTGCTACACCGACACCAGGATGACACGGTTCTTTGACTCCTAGAAGTCGCCCAGTAACTCCTCAGGGAAAACGGGAATAGGGTCATCGCCATAACTACGGCTGCGTTCATACCGTGCGACGTAGTGGTCAACGTCACCAACGTTTTCGACGACTAGTTCGCGAAGATTATATACGTATCCGACGTAACGGACAAAACCGACGTAAGCGACGTAACCGACGAAAGCTGCGTAACCGACATAACCGACGTTTTCGACGTCAGTCGATACGTATCTAATCTTCTGTCGCCCGTTACGTCGCTCTCGTCGGTTACGTCGACGTTGACGACGCCGCCGCACGGTATGAACGCAGCGTAAATGCTATCCAAGGGGGTATGCAGTAACAACATACCATAGACGCTTCTCCCTTTTAAAGACACTGGAAAGCACATTGTTTGTCGGTAAACGGGATGAGCATATAAAAGCACTTCCATACTTCGGGATCTGGTCGCTTCGATCGTGCTAAGCTAGCGGCCGGTGCCAACAGTGCGCATTCGGAGCGACCAACTCGCGAAGTATGAACGCCCCTCTGAACGAGTGTTGGTACTATTTTAGCAGATTTTGGTGGGATCTCCAGAAGGCATGATACGGGCAATCGATTGAACTCTAGATTACAAGACATCTATATAAAGAGCCATATATCAGCACGAGAGTCATCTTCGTAGATATCCCTGACACTAACCCAGGCGCATTCTTAAATAAAGCATTTTGTGCGTGGTGATAACCATGTCAAAGTGGTAGTGTTCCTGAATGCAAAATCAAGCTTCTTACCACTGAGGCACGGAAAATCATAGCCTCAACGAAGCATATGATAAAGAATGGTGTTCCCAGAGAAATAACCAAAAGCTGTTTCATTCGAACAGTGTTATTATAGAATGGTCGATTAATAGAATCATCACTGCATGGAATTGGACGCTCATACGGTGATATTGCGTACCTAAACATGACTCATATCGTGTGAACAACATAAAAAGAAATCCAAAAATATGTCAAGTTGTAATATACACTCACCCAACAAACATGTAGAATAGAATAATTGAAATCGCTAGAGTGATTGCAATATCAAGGCCCATGCATATTAAACCACGTACAACTATTTTTCGGACATCTTCACCATCCTTAGCGTTAGGCGGAACTAGTCTCCCACTAAACGTAATCCGTTTCAATGGCATGGAGATCCTGGAATGTAATGGCTTTTTTGTGCTATTGGTAAGCGGCAACGTTACTTGTCGCTAGTTCCCACCGAAAAAAATCTGACGTTGACAAAGGAATGAGTAATGTTAAATGTAACACTACCTACAAAAGCTTTCAGTAATGCGGCTACGTGGTACTAGACAAAAAAAAGTGGGTGTGAAAGAAGTAAGAAAGAGAAAGCTGTACGTGTAGACCTCCAACGTTATCTAAACTGAAACGCAGGCCGTTGGCCGTCGCCTCAGTTGTGCCGTCTGTGCGTTGCACTAATACGGCCGATTTGACGCTTGGCCTACGGTATAAAAAATTATTCCGGCAAATAGCTGTTGTTGTTCTCTCGACCGTATTCCTCGTCTCCGGATATTCTGAGTAGTTTGAATAGTCCTTGCTGAGCTTGAAGTTGCCCCTCACACAGGCATATCAGAAAGATCGCTGAGCATAGGCTTTGTGAAGCATTCATGTCACCTCGTTTCAGATTCAGTTTCGTTTCTTTCGAGAGAATCGCGACAGCGTTCTGAATTATCATGTCTGTTTCGACGAAACGACGATACATCACAAATAAGGTAGAGATGTCAGATTTATCTTTGCTTTCCGTTGGTGCGACTCATCTTCTAAATGCGAGTCAAGTTCGTGGTTGTGAGCTCTACGAATGACAGATTGTCTTCGGTGAGCTTGTGCTTCGAAATACGCGAACGTTTTTCTTCACTGACGTCTGTTTAGAAGTAGAAGTGAGTTGGTATCTCATCTTCGCCCCTCACAGCACTCGGATACGAGCCTGTGTACGCATCCAGTTTAACAGAGTTGTTTTACAGTAATCGTCAGAAGTCCTATTCTGATAATAGTGCACTGTTTCGTCAGTTCCTGGCACCAGGCGGTTGACTGCGCCGTGGTTACAGCGCAGTCCACCACAGAACGGATGAGAACTGTTAAAAGTATCAATCACGTTCAAAGAGAAGTTTTGAGAAGTTTTGTTCAGCAGAATCGTCCTCATGAATGAGCTGCTTCTTCTGATTCTGCTTACTCGTTTTTCCTGTTATTCGGACTCCCATCTACTATATGGTCTCATGAGAATGTGCTCTTTATTTTATGGGCCAATAGCAGGATGAATTCTTAAAAAACGCTCAGCATCCCAGTGTGCGACTTCGACGTGTAGTGTATCTCCACGAGAGGAAATTCGCAAGAATTAAGCCGTCGGTCGGCGCCCCCTATAAACGACTGAGACAATATGAATGAAATCAAGCCATGTACAGTGTGCATTCGTTGCGGATGATAGGGCGTGTCCGCTCGGCTGCGTTTGGCACGCCACCAAATCCATTCCCCACCAGTTGTTGAGGCGGGTAAGCGACAAAAACTGGTGAAAACGACTGATACGAGCGTACGAAGCAGTCCTGTGGCTTGCCGAAAGAAAAGGGAAAAAGACTGATCGGAGACGATCCATCATTCGCAGCTGCCAGACTGAACTGAGGGTGAATCAATCGACATCTACAGTTTGTAGAATTGATAGACATTCTTTGCAGGTAGAGTCCGAGTATTACACGCCAGTAGAAGGGGATATCATTGCACAAGTAAAAAACACCAGAGGCAACAATTTGCATGAGGTAAGAATTTTTCCTGGATTATAACTGTTTTTCGATTTCGCCTACCAGTCAAACTTTCTGAAAGCCTCAAACTTTCCCTTTTCTTGCTTAAACTACGCACCATTCAATTTTCGACCGTACAAAGTCGCTTTTACAGATTGAAGATGAGAATGGTGAAACATATGTTGCAAGTATGCCATCCAAGTTCAGGAAAGCCATATGGATCCGACGGGGGCAGTTCGTTGTTTTGCGACCAATTGAAGAGGGTGACAAGGTACTTCTACAAGTTTCCCTTTACTCATGAAAAAACGATCCATCACGTTTGTTTATTTCAGGTAAAAGCGGAAATTGAACACGTGTTGGACGAAGAGAACATACTGTACATAAGATCTATGAACAAGTTGGTTTTGTTCAATTATTTCTTCGATGTGAGGGGGAATTGGTGTAGAGGTACACGGCTGGCTTACCATACGAGCAGTCAGGGAATCCAATCCCAGACCACGCCAGCTAAGCTCCTACGCTCCGGGGATGATTTAGTTCCAAACACTCTGGAAAAAAATTCTGGCCTGCACAGCGGCTGGCCGAAAGTCATTGGGTGGACCACAAGGAATTTATGAGCGACAACGATTTCGAGTGAAAGTTGAATGAGACAATGGCTAATTAACGCCGTCAAGCTAGGAGGGTTGAAAGCGGTCTCGGCGAGCAGTGGATACCCATTCGCATGAAAAGCATGAGGTGAAGTTTCGAATCTGGCTGGTATTCCCGTCCACTCTTTTGCCCATCATTCAGCACTCTTGTGATATTTTGGAAGTGCTGAACTGTGCAGCACGTATGGTCGAATAGTTGATGAGAAAGAAATTATTGGAAGTTTGCACAACATTCTCGCACATTCAATGAAATGCAAAAGAAATGACCAAGCTTTAGAACTCCATCTGTTCATCGCTAAACTCTTCGTTTGGTCTGTTTTTCATGACAAAACAAACAGTTGTCAGCTGTTACGGCCTTATTTTGCCCGAACGTCAACCCGATTATTGAGCGTTTACTAACAATAGTAATACACTTCCTCCCGTCTGAATTCTTCGAGGCGTTGTCCCTTTTTGATGGCGATCAATTATTTAGGGCAGCGCGCTGTTCGATCGTTTCTACCTTTCACCCAATCGTTTTCGTGAACGAACTGATAGGACTGCGAAGATTGTTAGAAAACAAATTTGTTCAGGCAGTCATATCCCTCCCCTTTGATTGCTTCTCGAGTTTAAGAAAATTTCAGATCCTGGAACGTCCCTCCAGTTTGAACTTCTGTTGGGATTTCGCCTATCTCTCTCGGCTTCTTGCAAACCGGTTTCCATTATTTCCCTTCGCTGTTTCAGATGGCCTGCTAGATTCGAAGAGCAGGCTCGTATGATGACGAGAGATGCTAAGCGAGGAGGAAAAGGAGACACCATGATTGATGACGATATGCTACCACCAAGGTGATTTTTGTTTAAACTCTGATCATAAATCGGACTTTTAGTAATCGTCATTAAATTCAGCTTCTAATCTGAAATTGTTCACCCCATGTACTTAGTAACTGATATAATCCATAAATACTGATATTTCAGTGATAGCGATGAATACGAAAGTAGCGAGGAACATTCAACTGATGGTGAAGAAGGCGATGTTTCCGATGATGAGTCAGACGAAAGCGCACACGATCGGAATCAATATAATCCTAATCGTGATAAAGCCCCAACAAGTTCATAATGAAGCACAGGGTGTGGAATGTCGAATGCTCTTTCAGTCTACATGCATGTAGACCTATTCTAATTCGTCACTTCTCCTTTTCTTTGCTAATGCTTGCTCAGTATCGGAATGTAATATACTCATAAGTGAGATTGGATGCGTTCCCTTCTTTCATATCAGACTGACAGGACTTTTTATCACCCGGTATTTCGCATCTAATCGTTATAGGAGCACTTCTCTTTTTGGATTGTACCTACGTTGTTGATTTTGTTATCACGAGAGTTCTATTTGTTGATTATCGGAATATTCTCTATGAAGTTGTTTGAAAATGGCTTTTGGCGTGGCTGACGGTGGTTTGCAATCCATTTGATCTTTTTAAAATTTACTTGGTAACTACTTCTCAGGAGATTTGTTCTCGGGTGATTTTTTTTTAATTGTGCTGGCTTTTGTGGTATTTCCTCTATTTATGGGTTTCCACTGAATCACTTTTATTTTCCAATTTCGAATAGATACTGCATATCTTCCAATAATTCCGTTTTCAGGTTCTCTCTTTGAATGTTATAGTCCTGTCTGAACTGTCTGAAAGTGTAGAGAATCTATCACTTTCCCAGCTTAAGAAAACCCTGAGGAAAGTGCTATTAAATCGCGACGATGCCACGTTCCCACCTTACATGCCACAGCAACGCCCAACTTTTATTTTGAAGGCTTGTTGGTGGTGTATTGTTCCATTATAACCTCTCTCTCCATTTCGAGTGGCGAGATTAGGTGACAAAGGGAAAGAGCCGGCGCACATGAGTGAGCACTCGTCCACTCACGCCCTTTTCTTCTTATGCACGTGTCCGGTGTTCAGCGGGGGGGGGGGTTATACATGAGGCACATGGGACGGGTTTTATTTATTTACTATGCACGTGAGGATGCGCTACAATGTGTTCGAAACTGTTGGTGTTTTTTCACTTCTGTGTTGAATACCATCTTTTCAATAGTATTTGAGGCGCACAAATCAGCATTTTTGGATGTGCGTTGTTCCTTTAAATCAGTTCATTTACGGACACACTGTGCTATGTTGATCTTTCTTCGGTATACCGTTGATTTTCTAGCATCTCATAATTTCTGACTAGGGTAGTTCGCTGCGGACGGTTGGGCGTGTCAGGCGGGATGAGTTTGGCGCGGTGCCAAACCCGTTCTCCACCAGTTTAGATCGAGCAAATGATATGACTGTATCACATCGTTCGTATTACTCGTTTTCTACCACTTTTTGTCGCATGCGCGCTTCAACAAGAAGGCAGAGAACGGCTTTGACGGGTGACACACTCATACTGCCTGACACGCCCAACCGTCCGCAGCGAATTTGAGTGTGCCTAATTCCCAGAAGATACAGGGACTGATACGCTTCGACCTTTCTCTACGTTCTTATGATTAAGGCTGGTGGTGTTTGGGGTCTGCGTTTGTTCTGAATTCATGCTATATTGCTGCCGATGTGCTGTATTCGCTTGTCTCTGGAATATCGCTGCTATGGATTAATTGATATTCGCGACGAATATAATGCCCAAGCATTTATTCTCCTTGCTTTCGTTCCGCCAACTAACCCCTACCCTCCTTCGCTTTTGTTTAACAGAATCTGCGCTTCTGCCTGTGTCAGAGATTTATCATTGGCTGCATTATACTGTAACCCTGCTGATCCTTTTTCTGATAGTTGTCGCTAACTAAAGCAGTGAAAACGATCGGATCAAGGTCGAAGAGAGAGAAAAATTTTATTTATTACATGCCCGCTGGGAGCATGTTAAACCAACATGAAACATCTAAACAGCATAGCAAATCAGATATCATTTCAATGTTCAGAAAAAGTAGAAATAATAGCAATAAAGGGAAAAGCAGATAAAACTTCGAATAACAAAAAATAACAATAAAGAATAAGCACAACTAGCTGAACTTCTTGAGGAAACGCGAGATTTCTTGTTTGAAGCGGGAGAGCTTTAGAGGCAAACGAATGCTCTTGCATAACTTAGAGTACTCAGAACCAGCACGCTGAGTGAAGAAGTGGCTACGAAGCGAAGACCTGGCGATGTTGAGGCAAATTTTGCTAGGCTCACCTCTAGTAGATGAAACAGAAAAAGAAAATAGCTTATTGGCTGCAAACGCCATTGACCCATGGACGATTTTGAAAACGGTGACTAGGTCGTTCTTTAATCTACTTTTAGAAAGGGAATCCACAGTGAATCTTGATCAAAACGGAGGGATTTTTACTGCTAAGCGCCTTCAGCAACAGAAATAGTCTTTGCTCCGCTTTAGCAGCAATTTTAAGGCAATGGGAGTCGAAGCTGAGATTGCGGTTAACAATAAATCTAAGGTCCTGTATTTCAGAAACTTCAAGAATCGCTTCGAATTATGAAGCGTCGCAATGGAACCCCCGGTTTGCCGTAATTCTGGAAGGGTATCATCGTTCGCGACAAAATGGGAAATGCAGTAATCTAGCTGCAATCTATCACTAGTGGCGACGGTGTTCGGCGACTAAGGGCGGGAGGGAGGGGGGGGCATTTTGCACTTTCGCAGCTTCAGTAGTTCTGGTTTACAGGTCTCTTGTGAAGCCTGTGAACTCTGCGTATATGGTGCAAGCGCCCAGCCAACACGATAAAACCTGTCAATTCTCGTGAGGCTTACGCGATGACTCGACACGTCGGTGGGAAGTGGCAACAGAGCAAAATGCCGCCCTCCCCGTCGCCGAACTGCGCCAAACGTGACTTTTAGTACTCCATTGGACCATGACGTAGGACACGGTCTTGCGGGATGCTTTCATTTGAGACAGCTGTCATACTGTCTTGAGCTGGACATGGACGTGATAACGATTGACTTTGGAGGGCAGCATCCCACCAAAAACCCAGACACTGCCATATATAATTAGGTGCGTAATCACGCCCACTCCACCTGCAAGTTATTAACATGCTTTCGCTAGATTGTGTATATCTATACCAGGTAGTTTTCCTTCTTCACAAGCAAATGTGATGATGTTGGTGATGTTCTGTGATGAAGTACAGTCGTGATCCCTCAGACTGGCCATCCGTAATTGCGTACTTCACTGGGACGCGACGGCGGCTGCAGTAGGAGTGGCGATCGATGCTGCATGATCACCTGATTTCAGCGATTAATTTTTCTATTTTGCCTGTTATTCTGCTAACTAGAAGGAAAAGTGAGTTCATATTATTTACTCTAATTTGAGGTTTTATTGTATATTTTGCTTTCAGTCGCTATTTGACTGCAGTGACGGTGTTTTTACCCACTTTTTGATTTTGTTTATGGTTTTTTTGTTTGTGCTTTGAATGTTGGACTGTTCTCCATGGCAGTGTCGTTATGTGTCCTCATTAGTACAAAAAAAACAAAATCAAAAAGTGGGTAAAAACACCGTCACTGCAGTCAAATAGCGACTGAAAGCAAAATATACAATAAAACCTCAAATTAGAGTAAATAATATGAACTCACTTTTCCTTCTAGTTAGCAGAATAACAGGCAAAATAGAAAAATTAATCGCTGAAATCAGGTGATCATGCAGCATCGATCGCCACTCCTACTGCAGCCGCCGTCGCGTCCCAGTGAAGTACGCAATTACGGATGGCCAGTCTGAGGGATCACGACTGTACCTAGACCATGAATTACTCCTGGAAGTCATCTTCCATCCTTTTGCTCTGGTTCGAAGTTTTCACATTGTTTCCTCTTGATTTTGAGATAATCAGTAAGATTCCCAGTCATCGAACTCTTAGAGCAGACGCCAGACGCCCACTTATCCCTGTTGTGAGCAGGAGTAGTTCGGTGAATGCTCATCGCTCAAGGAACGCGAAGACTGTCATTCATTCCGTGCAGAGCTGTTGTGAGGAAGTGTAACCATCGAACAGAAAGTCGTCTTGGCGTTTGTTTGGCATGCCGTCGTTAACCGTTCTGGTCCAGCAGTCATCACAAGATCGCATGACGTGAACGGTACAGTTGGTCTTCGGTTCCTTGTAAAACCACCGTTACTGATCATCGACCGTTGAATAGTAAGACTAGAAAAGTCGCCGCATTACTTTGCAAGCCTCGGGAAATCAGCCTTCGCCATGTAGCGATAATTTGTCTCCTTCAAAAAGGAAAGAAAGGCGTTGTGGGCCCTCCAGGCTTACTTCGGCTAAAACCTCGCCTTCTCTGACTCTTGCTTTTGCCGTTACCCAAAAAAGAGAAAGTCACAACATTGGCACAGCTCGATCAGTCAAAAATGGAAAAGAACAAAACAAATTGAGGTGAATCATCGTTTTGCGGCAATGGCAGAGTGTTCTACAGAAGTTCAAAAAAAAATCCTGTTTCCAAAGTTGAAATTTGGTGTTGACAATCATTTCACATTTGTTTTTAGCACACTTCCGTTATAGACTCTTCCAAATCATTTTGAAAGTCTGGTTTCTATAAGGTAATCAGGTGGAGTTATCGTTGTGCGGTGCAGTGCTTCTATGGATCTCGTTTATTGTGTAGTAGGGTGCTGAAAGGAAGATGGGCGCGTGTACTCCTGGATAGGCCTCGTACGTATTTCGTATTTTACGCGGGCGCTGTTTATAGACGGGGGGATATATATTGTATTATAATTGCTTCCCTGGTTCCGGTTTACAAATCTCACTCTTGTGAACGCTTGTGAAGCTGGAGCAAGATCGTCTAGCCACCATCCTAAAACGTGTCAACTCGAAAAAGGGTACCTAGATGGGTTGGCAAATCTATGAAAAGCAGAATGCCCCCCCCGTCGATAAACAGCGCCTTTTGCGCGCAGTCTTTGGATGTTCCGCTTTTTACCAAAGAACACATTTGAGTCAACTAATTTCATCTTATGTTCGTTTCATACTTTTCACTAATCATTACCATCTGAAAAGTCGACATGGAGAATGCCTTAACAAGTGCCAATGCTATTGCATGTCAATTCTCTTATCTTTGACACCTCATACTTTTCTTTTAGTGTACCTTTCATCCCAGATGAGTAACGCTGAGACTTACCCTGAGCCGGTATTTCCTTCACT